CTCGCGGCCCGGGGCCGCGACCTGAGTGCCGCGGGGCTGCTGGCTCCCGCGCCCGCCCCGGCTGCAGCGCCGCCCGCCCCGGAGTACTACCCCGAGGACGACGAGGAGCTGGAGAGCGCCGAGGACGACGAGCGCAGCTGCCGGGGCCGCGAGTCCGACGAAGGTGAGGTCCGGGCTGCGATCGGGGCCCGGGGGCTATGGGGCAGGGGTCAGAGGTCGCCAGAGCTCTCCAGAGCCAGGGCTTCCTGCTCGGTGTCTCAGATCCTCTCCGGGTGTCATCCCTCGAACTGCACTTGGATCGGAGTGATGCCCAGCTTCTCTCCTCAAAATGCTTAAAACGCCCTGGCTCCACTTGGGGACCTGGAACTAGCCAGGTGTAAGTATTTATTTTTCTGACAACTACACCAGCTTTGTGACCTCAAGGTGCCCAGCCTCTTGGCTGCCCACCTGCTGCGGAGTCGTACGGAGTCCTCACTTCCTGGGTGGGTATAAGGATTAAATCCGCTTTGCCGCTGTGAAGCAGGCGCAAGGGGAGGTCGGGAGTTGTTTTCTGTCCCGAGTATTTTGCATTTGCATTCTTGCTTCCCAGAGCTCCACTTCTCGATATGGACTTTGTGTGCTCCAGTGGCTAGTGTGAGGGACACCCAGAGAGATTGAGGAAGGAGCTAGCTAAGTGGAGGAGAGGCTAATAGCTAGAGAAGAGCGGAGGGGAAAGCGGGGCGGCCTTTGTATGAGTGGAGTATAGTATTCTGGCACAAAGTCGGGCTGTAAAAAGCAAAAACTACTTCAACTGCTCTCAAGGAGAATCGTCCTACTCATTCTAGTCTCTCTAGTGCCTAGGGACATAGCTGACTGGCTCTTGACAGGACCTCCGTGAAAGTACCTTTCCAAAAAAAAAAAAAAAGCAGCATTTGCAGAGCAGAATGTTGAAGGAACTGGTTGCATTTGGTTTAACCCCATTAAAAGGCAAGGCTTAACCAGGGATTTTTCAACGTAAAACGTTGCATTGCTTTTAATGACCACAAGGGGGTGCAGTGAAGACGAAATTGATTTCCTTCTTCCATGTAGGAGTTATTGGATTCAGCTATTTGCCGAAGACCAGTTTAAATTATTATTATTATTATTATTATTTAGTGTATATATAATATTATATATATGGACCAAGTGAAATGTCTCAGCCGTTTAGAGCACTTGCTGAGTCTTCAGAGGATTTAGGTTTTGATGGCTCATAACTGTCTATAACTCCAGCTCCAGGAGATCTAGTGCCTCCTGACCTCTGATCTCTGTGGGTTCCAGGCATGCAGGTGGTGCACCCACATGCAGACAAAGCACCCAGACATACAAAACGAAGTGAATATAATTGAAAATGTTTTTTCGTTAATTTTTGTTTATGTGTATGTCTGTGTGCCTGAATTTATGTGCACCACATATGTGCAGGTGCCCTTTGAAACCAGAAGAGGGTGCCAGATCCCCCAAAATGAGTTACCAGACATTATAAACCATCTGGTGTGGGTGTTGGGAACCAATCCCATATCCTCTGCAAAGAACAGCCTCCAGCCCCTGTTTTTAAATATCTATTTTTGGCCATGCAAGGCTTTGGAACAATTTTTTAAAAATTATCTTGCACCTCTTTTTTTTTTTCATCTGTTAACTCTGAAAGCATTTCAGGTTTAGAACTGGATGTGTTGTGGGGCCAGCCAGCCTCCTTATTATTGCTTGTCTCTAATGTGTGTGTGGCTGGTGATCATGTGCATGCCCCCATCCTCTCTGCACTGAACTATGCACTCTACCACTCTGTGGCCTTCATCAGGACTGCCTCTCCCATGCGCCTCTCCTCTTCTCTGACTGTACAGCATAGAAAAACAGATTCTCAGCATAAACCCAAGATAGAAAAGGCATTTTCTCTTTTGCTTTAACCACATTTACTATATTTGTTTTTGCTAGAAGGTTCATACAGACCCACACTGGGTAGAAATTTATTACTCTCCCAGGTGCCCACCTATCATGCTGTCATGATATCAGTTGTGTGTCTTGTGATCTCAGCCTTCGCTTCTTCCCTTATTTCATGCAGACACTGAGGACGCTAGTGAGACAGACCTGGCAAAGCACGATGAGGAAGACTACGTGGAGATGAAGGAACAGTGAGTCTGGCTTTGTGCCTTTTCTCTGGAGTAGAGCGTCGGGTCAGTCTTCACAGAGACTCCGATTCTGACCTCAGTGCTTGCAAAGCTCGCATTTTCCTGCAGTTTCCCCCCGGCCGAGTCTGAGAGTCTTCTGCTGTGAGGCTCTCCTGCCGGTAGGCTAGCAAGAGCTGTGCTGGAGATGATGGAGTGAGGGCAACCAGGCCATTGCAGACGGGTGTGGAAACGGGTGCCCAGAGACATGGGCGGCTTGCAGGCCCCTAGCCCCGTCCCAAATGTGGGTTCCTGCATAGCTGGGACTGCAGCTGCGTCCCCTGTGCTGCCCCAGACTTTGTCTGTGTCAGCTAGGCGGGAGGGTAGGACGTATCAGATGATGTAGGGTATCACTCGGTTGTTCAGGATTCTCTGGAAACCGTTGTCACCGGGGATGCCGTTAACTCCTCACAGTCCTCCTGCTTCCTACTCCTAAGTGCTAGCTTGCAGCTTATGGACAGCACACCCAGGTTTCAGGAAGCGGTGGCTGGCTCTCTTTTGAGGCCTTGTTGACTCTTATCTCGAGACCCTGTGGGATAATTTTGAACCCTTCAGTTCCTATAGGGCAGATAGTCCACATTTCTCCTCCCCAGCGTTTCCTTTCTGATGTGTGTGGCCATCTCTGCACTGTCATTTTCAAGATTTTGAACCCAAAGGACCAACTCAGCCAGCTGTGTCCAATGCTGACACAGGTTACATGAATGATTCACATGTGTGTTCTCTCATTTGACACAGGTTACATGAGTGGTTCACCCGTGTGTTCTCAGTTGCACCTGGGAACTCTGCCTGGCCTTTCTCTTGTGCCCACTTTTTACTGGGGAGTCTGCCTGTTTGAAATGCATTGTCACAGACTCTTTTCCTGGGGCGGGATCGTGATGGATCTGGTGTCCTCCCCGCCCCCTGCCTCCATCACTCTGCAAGCCTCTGTTTTCAGGACTCGGTGGCAGGAATTGGCTACTACCGCTATGTGGCGGGACTCGATGCTCTGGGTCCCACAGACTTCTCAGACCCCATCTGGGCGTCTGCTCCTCTCTAGTCCTGGTCAGGTTTCAGAAACAGTTTTTCCCCCCCAAAAGATCCATTTTATTTGTTTATTTTTTATGTGTTGGTGTTTTGTCTGCACGTTCTGTGTACCACATGTGCGGTGCCCTCGGAGCTGAAGTTTCAGACTATTGTTAGCTGCCACGTAGGGGCAAGAACTGAACTTGGGTCCTCTGGAAGAGCAGCCAATTCTCTTAACCTCTGAGCCATTGTGATGAGAACTGGTTGGTCTCTGTCACAGTGAACAGGAGCTGCACATCAGAGTTGTCAGAGAGAGGGGCCTGGGCTGGGGCCCCTTAGCCTCTCTCTGTTCTGAAAAGAGGTGTGTTTCATTGTCAGCCTTTCTGAGGAGTGGGAAGGTCTTTGAGGCCTTTGTTGTTGCTATTGTCACTGAGAAACTGGGGGTGTTTTCCATGTAGAAGCAGAAGTATTGCCCCCAGGCGAATTCACCTGGATTTCACAGCTCAAATGAGCTTGCCTGTGTGTGTAGTTGCCCACAGTCCCTCGGTGTGAGCAATGAGAAGAGGTCACGTTGCTCAGTGTGTCTTGTGCCCTTGCCCAGCCAGGGCTGCAGAGCTTTTTGCATCGAGCCTGAGTTAGCTTTGTGTTTCTGATCCTGGAAATGCAGTGGGGTTACACTGTGCTGTCTGCAGGGGAGGTGTACTGAGGGCGTCTCCTTGTTCTATCCACCATACATGCTGTGCTGTCTGCAGGGGAGGCGCACTGAGGGCGGCTCCTTGTTCTATCCACCATACATGCTGTGCTGTCTGCAGGGGAGGCACACTGAGGGCGGCTCCTTGTTCTACCATCCATGAGCCTTTCAAAAATTGCATTTTCATGTGTGCGTTTTGTGCCTTGAGAGGGTTTTGCCACGCTGTACTGTGGCAGTTAGAGGACAGCTTGCAGGGGTTGGTTCTCTCCTTCCACTGTGTTGGTGCCAGGGCTGGAACTCTGGCAAGTGCTCTTACCCTCTGAGTCATCTCCTCAGTCCCTTTTTTCCACTTATAATTTATTGTAGGGTTGTGTAGGTATGGTTGATACTGAAGAACCCTTAATGTAGACGTGTGTTAACGCCACCGCTCTCACTTTTGCGTGGTTCGCACTGCTTCGTGGGGCTGTACACTCTGTGCTGCAGGCGTCCAGGGGCGTGTCTCTTTGTGACTCCCCTTCTTTGCCCTGATGGTGCCCCTAGGGCAGCCTGGTCCTGCCGGTGCTGAGCAAGAGCTGAATTCTTCCTCTCTTCCAGGATGTATCAGGACAAACTGGCGTCTTTGAAGAGGCAGCTGCAGCAGCTACAGGAAGGTAGGTGTGGGGCTGCCTGGGCCTCCACAGTGCCTGAGACTGAGAACCGGCTCCTCAAGTTCTATGACAAGTTTGCACCCCAGTGTCACTGCTTTTGAAGGATGTGACTTTGGGGCATGTCCCATCTCTTGTCCCATGTCCCATCACATCATCTACCAAGTGAAGAAAGAAGGGCCCAGAGCAGAGCATTGGCCATAGTGTGAATCTGGACAGGTTAGCTGCCGCCTCTGCAGCACATTGTAGGGTACCTATCAGTGCAGCTGTTCTTCCTGCCAGGAGCTGTGGTCTGGGCCCTGGTCTGTAACATGAAGGCCGCTTGCTTGTTGGGGCTTCTGTCCCGCCTGATACCCCACAGCCAGCAAGCCCCAAAGAAAATCACACAGAGGACTCCATAAGATTATAAACTCATTGGCACTTAGCTCAGGCTACTTATTAGCTCTTATAACTTATGTTAGCCCATTATTTTTATCTATGTTAGCCACACGGCTCAGTACCTTTCTCAGCGGGGCAGCTTACATCTTGCCTCTCTGGTGGTCTGGGCAGAACTGCTGAGGGAGCTTCCTGCTTCCCAGAATACTCCTGTTCTCTTTGCTCCACCTCTACTTCCTGTCTGGTTTTCCCACCTATCCTTCCTGCCTGGCCAATCAGCATTTATTTAAAACATGATTGACAGAATACAGACAATTCTCCCACACCATTTTCCCCTCTTTTTTTTTTTTTAAACAAAGGAAAATATTCATAGTCCATTTGTTGGGAATGTGGGCCTAGTATTCCAGGCTACTTCCGGCTGGTTGGGACCTAAAGAAAATTTAGAATTATCATCAAGTCCTGACTGGAGTATCCTTTGAGTCTTGATCGTCTCGAACAGCATCTTGAATCTGTTCTGGATGTAGAATTCTGACATCTGGGCCATCTGTTCCTACTGGAGATTTCTCAGGTGGTCTTCCTTGATCAAACTGGATTTTTCTTATCTCAGAATGAATCCACAGCCTCTCATTTTCTGTGGAAACAAAAGCAAATCCTCTTCTCCAAAGTAACATACCTTTTGACTTCAATTTTGAAGCCAAGGTATTTTCAAAATACCTATCTTGGATTAATTCAGCAGCATTTATAAACAAATAATCTTTTAGCAGCTGTTGCTCCTTCCTCAGCATTCAAACAATTCAAAGAGAGCATAATAACATAACAGTATCATAATAATATCATATTATTATATATATATATCATAATAATATAATATAATAACAGTATCATAATAATAACAGTATCAAGATTCTCAGTGTATTTTCCATCTTTATGTGGCTTTACTTTAACCTCTATTTCTTTTATTTTTACTTTTACTTTTTGAGACAGGTTCTCTGTATATCTTTGTCCTGGAATAACTCTGTAGACCAGGCTCTTGAACTCACAGAGATCCATCTGTCTCTGCCTATTCAGTGCTAGGATTAAAGGTGTCTGCTACCACACCTTGAAGTCACAGAGGTCAACCTACCTCTGCCTCCCAAGTGTTGGGATTAAAGGTGTGTACCACCACACCCAACTATTTTCTTTCTTTCTTTCTTCCTTCCTTCCTTCCTTCCTTCCTTTCTTTCTTTCTTTCTTTCTTTCTTTCTTTCTTTCTTTCTTTTACATTAAGAACTTTAACTTTTAGCCTACATATTTTTAACACACTGTAAACCATTTAGAGTTTTTCCTTTGAATCTCCCTTTAATGTATATCTCTCTTTTTCTGACTACATGAGTCTTTAAGGAGAGGATTAAAGCTGTGGCTTTGACTGCTAAATCCAGCCTATTCCTTAGCTTTCCAGCCTCATGGCAGAGGTACCGCTGGAGTCATTTTTATTGCCACAACTCTACAGCGTTTCAAGGTCCCTGCCAACAAGCAAGCTGCAGCATTCTGCTCACAGACCACACTCAAGTCGAACTGCCTGCCTGAAAGAGTCAAAGAGTTTGCCCTGGCAGGACAGCCCAGAAAGCCGGCATTTTAAAAGGCTCAACTTTTTTCCTGCTACAGCTAAAACCAAAAAGCATGCGTTCAGCTTTTCATCAACACCGTTTAAGTGTTTCGTGGCAGGACCTCTTAAAGAGCTACAGGGTTTTGCAGCTAAAGCTGAGTCAGGAAGCCTCTCTTAGATGAGAGCGCTTGCTTGCCTCTAGCAAGCAGAGCAGACCCGAGAAATTGCTGCCACCAAGAAGCCATGCTATATTCTTTTCCAAGCTTTCTCAAGCTTTCTGTGGATTCAGTTATCCATGTGGGCGCCATTCTATAACATGAAGGCCGGCTTGCTTGTTGGGGTTTCTGTCCCGCCTGATACTCCACAGCTGGCAAGCCCCAAAGAAAATCACACAGAGGACTCCATAAGATTATAAACTGATTGGCACTTAGCTCAGGCTACTTATTAGCTCTTATAATTTGTGTTAGCCCATTATTTTTATCTATGTTAGCCACACGGCTCAGTACCTTTCTCAGCGGGGCAGCTTACATCTTGCCTCTCTGGTGGTCTGGGCAGAACTGCTGAGGGAGCTTCCTGCTTCCCAGAATACTCCTGTTCTCTTTGCTCCACCTCTACTTCCTGTCTGGTTTTCCTGCCTATCCTTCCTGCCTGGCCAATCAGCATTTATTTAAAACATGATTGACAGAATACAGACAATTCTCCCGCACCACTGGTCCTTTGCTGGGTACTGTGCCAACAACTGCTTCCTACAGATGGGAGCTCATGACAGCTGTCTTGGGGAGAGATGAACAAACAGAGGTTTCAGGGTTTGTACCTGCACCGTCTGACTGCCACGGGCCACATGGCTAAGTCTCATAGAACTGATAAAAATTAACAATCTGGTTCCTTGGTTGTATTGATTGAATTTGAGTGCTGAAGTAGCCCTCACATAGCTACTGGCCACTGTATTAGACATTGCAAAGGTAGAGGTTTTCGCCATTACAGAAAGGCTTCCCGGATAGTGATGATAGAGATTTCTGTCCCACCTGGTTCCACTGCCATTCATTTCCAAAGAAACACACAGAGGCTTACATTAATTTTAAACTGGTTGGCCTATTAGCTCAGGCTTCTTATTAACCCTTATAACTTACATTAACCCATAATCTCTGTTATCTGTTTTAGCCATGTGGCTTGGTACCTTTTATCAGTGAGGCCTTCTCATCTTGCTTCCTCTGTGTCTCAGTGATGACTGCAGACTGAGCCTTTCCTCTTCCCAGAATTCTCCTGTTCTGGTTGCTCCACCTATACTTCCTACCTGGCTACTGGCCAATCAGTATTTTATTAAAGCAATACAATGACAAGTCTTTACAGGGTCCCATAGCAGGATAACCTTGACCTAGACTTCACTGTAAGGGAATGGCCTTCTCCAGGAGAGGGGGCCCATTGTCTTTGACTGTAGGACCCTGTGATCGGTGTCATCTGGGTGTCTGTGCCCTTTAATGGCCTCACTCCCCGACCCCAGGGTCTGATGGGGGCTCCACGTGGTCTATCGTCTTGTCTGCTGTGAGCCTCTTCTGGTACGGCTCTAGGCCTGCTCCAGATGCTAGAAAGTGACTCAGGTGTGGGCACAGCGGGCTGATTTTCTGAGTCACTCTGTGCCTTGTGACTGCCCCATCAGGTACATTACAGGAATATCAGAAGAGGATGAAGAAGCTGGACCAGCAGTACAGAGAGAGGATCCGGAACGCAGGTAGGCCTCCAGTGTGCACACGGTACTGCCTGCCTTCTGCTTGCCCATGCTCACAGAGTGCGGAGCTGTTCTCTAGAGCACACCCGAGTCTTCCACTGGGGCAGAGGTGAGGGACGGGCGTGCCAAAGTTGTTCACCTACCTATCCTCTAGGAATCTAGGGTGCCAGGGCTGCTGCTGCGTGTGTTGCTCCTTGCTTGGTGCACTTGGTGGCATAGTGGGCAGCTGAGTTGCTGGTGTGGAAGAGGTTGTAGTTCAGTGTGCCTGTGGTTTCTTCTGTGTCTGAGAGGAGGGCTGTCATCTTGTTATGGTCTCCATGTGTTTCAAGCACTTGGTGGCATGGAACATGGTCTGCTCCACAAAGTGTTTGCTCAGGGTGTTTGAGCATCTGTGCACATTGGTACTTGGAGCATATTGTCCATGGTTTTAGGAAACTCTCTATGTCATTGGCCAAGGATCCCCATCTACAGAAAATCAGCGAACAGTAGGAGTTAAAGAACCATGTGGTAGCTCCTGTGCCCACGGCTTCCTTGGCTGGAGTGACTTCCGGGATGAGTGGTTTCTCTGCCTTGAGTGCTTTTTGTCAGACATAATGTCTGAGCTCATCGTCTGAGTTCTGGAAGTCTCAAGCTCCATGGGGTGTGAGAGAATGTGCTTTTCACAGGGAAATGGGTCTTCAGGATTTGAGGCTTGCCAAGGAGAACATGGAACTTGCGACACCCAGAAGTTTCTGGTCTATCCATGGTCTATTCATAACCCATACTGACCCAGAAAAGATGGGAGTCACAGATACCTTTTGTTTCAGATGCTGGCTTTATCAAAGCATGCCACCTCCCAGTGGAGGCTGCCGGGCTGTATGAGGGTCTCTAGAGGAACAGAATTGATAGACTGAGTCTCTACACAATGGGGGGGTGTTTATTAGAGTGGCTTATGGGCTGTGGTCCAGCTAGTCTAACAGTGCCTGTCTCCCAGTGGAAGGTCTGAGAACCCAGCAGCTGTTGGAGCTGTCTCAGCCGGACCAGTGTATGCTGGACTCCGGAGGAAGTAGGCTGTAATGGCAGTGAGGGCATGGACTTGCCAGAGAGCTGGAGGGCAGGCAGGCGAAGAGCCAGCGTCCTTCTTCCTTGTCCTTTGTACAGGCTGCCTGCACAAGGTGTGCCCAGATTAAAGGTGATCGTCCCACTTGAAATGATTTAAAAGAAAGTTTTCTCACAGCTGGACCCAGTCCCTTAGGTTTTAGTTAATTCTGGGTATAGTCAAGCTGATAACCAAGCATAGCCATTCCATAGGTAAACAGTTACTAATTGTCTGGAGTACAGTAGGACTAAGGAAGTAGAGAGAAGGGCTTGATGAATTTGGGTCTGTCAGGGAAGCCCAAACCCTTGTCCTAGAGGGATGCTGCCCACTCTGAAAGCTTCTATATGGACTCTAAGGTGGCTGTGTTGTGAATTCTGATACCCTTATCTAGAGGGACGGTGGCTGGTCCACTCTCACTGCCGTTTTCTCTCTTTCAGAACTCTTCCTCCAGCTGGAAGTAAGTACCCAGGGATCTTTTGGGTCTGCAGGCTCCTTCTGAGGCTGCGGTTTGACTCTTGATCTGCCGGCCTCTCCTTCTGTCAGCAAGTATTCAGTTTGGAACTGTGTCTGCCTGAGGAAGGGATGCTGGCGTCTGCTCAGACCCTCCCTCCGTCTATTCATGAGTATTGTGCGGTCCCTCCTGACCACACAGGGTTGGAATGTCACCCCTCACTGTTTGTTGTTTTCTTGTTTAAAATCTAATTTATATACGTGTGCATCAGTGAGTGAATACCATGTATGCGGGTGCCTCTGGAGCCAGAAGGGAGTGCTGGATTCCCTGAAACAGGGGTCACAGGCAGTTGTGAGCCACCCAGCATGGGTGCTGAGAACCAAACTCAAGTCCTTTGGAAGGGCAGCAAGCATCCTCACCACCAGCCTGTCTCTGCAGCCCACAGCCTGTCTGTTGACGTCCGTCTCACACTGTGACCACTGACGTATCTCAGGGCCATGTTGCCTGGATTTGATAGCACCCCCCACCCCAGCCCAGTCTCTGAGTTGGCCCAACAGATCCGTCCTACGCTAGGACTTCTCTGGGCCTGGAGCAAGATGGAGTTAATGTTTCCTTTCATGTCACAGGCAGCTTCGGCCGTGGTGCTGAGACGAGGGCCTAGAGGGTTATAAGGGCCTAGAGGGTGTAAGGGGTGCTTTTCGGTTTGTCAGATTCACATTACTTGGAAGACATTTTTATTAAAATCAGTTCGGCGCACACAGTCGCGGCCAGGCAGAGCGTGTACTCCAGCCCACAGCCCACAGTCATCACCCAGGACACTGGTGAGATTTCACAAGTAGGCTTCTAGGCAGTTTTTTTTTTTTATTAATAGCTTAATTTTGATGCTTGAGTACTTGAAGGGTCATGCGCCTAATGAATGGTCTGTAGTTGCTTTTGTTTTTAGGGGTCAAACATAATAGCACGCTGTCTGGCTTTAATATCATATAATTAATTCTAAATGCAGAAACTTAATCTGGAGTGGGCTGTTTTTACTTGAAATTGTGTCCTTCCAAGAGGGACCCCTTGCTAGCTTGGAGAGACTCAAGTTCTGTTTTGACGCTAAAGTGTCAGACTCATGATGCGGGGAGAAGGGGGACCCGGGTGTCAGTGCAGTACCCTGGAGTGAGCACCACTACATGGCTGGGTTTGGGGCACCCCAACACCCCTGGTTCCACAGGTCAGTGTGGGTGACCGAGGTCTCAGGCTTTGCTGCTGCTGAGGTCGGAGCCGGAGGCGGGACGGCACCTGTGGTCAACCACCCCAGCCATATTTTCCTTTGATCAGACTGAACAGGTGGAAAGAAATTATATCAAAGAGAAGAAGGCAGCCGTGAAGGAGTTTGAAGACAAGAAGGTGGAGCTGAAGGAGAACCTGATCGCTGAGCTTGAGGAGAAGAAGAAGATGATTGAGAATGAGAAGCTCACGATGGAACTGACCGGAGGTACGGAGCCCTGGGCCTGGGCGCTGCCTCAGGGAGAGCAGGCTTCCTGACCAAGTCAGCATTTCACCTCCACCCTGAACCAGCTGGGGACTTGGTCAGGCTGCTTAGCTTCCCGCTGTAGAGGGTCAGGTGCCACCTCATCTCACAACTGTGCCTTTGGGTGTCTGCGCATGACAAGCAGGCCACGTGCAGGCTGTGGTTTGGGCCTCACTGTGCCTTGTCGGCTGCTGTTTGTGTCCCTCACATTCCCAGTTTCTCACCAGAATCACCTGGAGATCGCTGTGGTTCCTACAGGAAGGTGGCTTTGTGTGTCTCTGCGGTCGTCTGTGTGCTCAGAGCCCGTGTGTGATTCCTTCAGGAATCTCCTGAGCGTCTAGAGACTTCAAGACTAGTTTCCTTCCTAGTCAGCTGGGATTTAGTTGTCACCAGGGAATTGAGCAGGTTACAGACAGGTCTCGGGGGAACTGTGGCGACACCATTCCCGTCTACAGACTGGTGCCTCACAGGAGGTAGGGAAATTAGCAGGAGCTTGGCACTGACTTTGTTACAAGTCAGCATTGAGTTTGTCACCTGGCTATCTAGGTGCTGTGCTCTTCTGACACCCGAAAAGTTAATCTTCATCCTGTCCAGAAGGTTCTGGGGCTCTGCGAGAGCCAGTTTTAACAGGGCTCTGTAGGACTTGCGAGTTTTGTGGAAATCCTTGGCTGACTTTGGATCAGAAAGTGGGCAGTTACAGCTGGTGTGCCCCTCTGTGGTGTGCTGTGAACCAGCTCAGCATCTTGTCCACACACACTGACCGCCCCCACACACACACAGATCCCCCCAGTGGGTGCTGGAGCAGTGCCTGGGGGCTGTACTGCTTAGCTCCCTCAGTGCTCTTTCCTCGGGCTGCACGTGGTGCCACCCTCTCGAGTACCATTCCCCCACCTGTTTTTGTCCCGCATGCCTTTTTCTTGATGGTGGTTGTGACTGGCATTGGTGCTTTATGGCTCTCTGCTGGGCCGCCGCTGTTCCTGAGGCTCCATTGGCCTAGTGGGACATCCTGTCCATGTATAACTGCTCCCGCTCCCCCGGCAGGGAAGGGCGTGCTCACCTTACCTAGGCTTTGGTGTCCTAGTTACTGACAGGCAGCGGGTTCTGCTCAGATGGTTTTATAGCCAGCTTCTGAACTGAGACAGAGGCAGAGAAGACAAATAAAGGCCAGGAAATCATTTGTAATGCAATAAAGTAGATAGCAGAAGCATTTAAAGCTGCCTGTGGACAGAAAGGTACTGACGTCCTTCCTTAAGCCGTTCAGAACCTTGGTGTGGAGAGCGTTGCCAAGGTAATGATGGAGGGCGGGAGGAAAGGCACTGAAGCTAGAAGGATAATGGGCCTTCCCCAGATGGTGCTGCGCTGGTGTTAGATGGAAGGCCTGATTTCCTTCTAGCTGACTGACTTGCTTCGCCTCTGAGGATTGATGCCTAGATTTGCTGCTTCCAGCTCCGTCCAGAGAGGTGTCTTCAAATCGCCATTTCTGCTTCAACATGGATATTTCTCTTAAAAAGTAAATGAGAGGTTGCTGAGAAAGACCATAAGAAGCAGGTGTCTCAGGCCACCTGCTCTGTCTGAGCACTAGTCACCAGGGACTGGGGTCTGGGAGTGCAGGAGGCACTCCGCGTCCTCAGCCTCCCGGGACACCAGGTTCTGATTGTACTTGCAGTGCTGTGGACTTGCGGTGCTGTGCTGTGGAGGCGAAGCTGCACCCGGCCAGCGCCTGCTGCAGATGCAGTCACCTGAAGGGCTGCTGGGGGTCTGGAGCGAGGGGCTGTCCCAGTCCCAGGGCCTGCCATGCCCTGCTGGGCCCCTCTGTGGTAGGGAGGTTGTAGGCAGAGTGCACTGATGTGACCCTTTTAGCTAAGGCTAAGCTACGTGACCAGGATAGGCAAGGAGATCCTCATGCCCTTTAAGCATCAGGAGCCTTATCTTTTTTCTTTTTTCAAGATTTATTTGTGCGTGTGTGTATGTGCACATGCTCACGCCACATGTTTGCAGTTGCCTGCAGAGCCTGGAGGAGGGCACCAGATGCTTTGGAGCTGGAATTGTGGGCCATTGTGATAGACCGACATGGGGCTAGAAATCGGGTCCCTTTCAGGAGCAGGCACTCCTAACCACTGAGCCACCTCTAGCCCAGGCTTGGTCATTTTTAATCTGCCTCTCATTAGTCAGCCGCTCTGTTGCCGCTTGGATTTTTGCTCTTTTCTGGGCACTTTCTCGGGTTCCAACCAACCTTCAAGCCCTTGTTGGCAGCCACTCATAATCTCAGGAAAAGCTGTGGATTGGTGAGGAATACTGGCTTTGTAGTCGGTGCTGTAAGTAATCATAATGGCAAGGTAGAAATCCGTTGCCTCCTGTGAGGCCTGGGTGACTCTCTGCAGGCTCTCATGCTGAGAAGAGCCCCATCTGTCACAGGCTCTTCCCGTGGGAGCCGTCTTGCCTGGTGAGGGAGGACGCAATGTCTGGAGGGCTCACTGGCACAGGGCAGACCCCTGCTTGCTTTGGGTGTTGTTTGTAAGTGGCAGCACTGATTCAGAAGTGCCTCACCAGCCCCAAGTCCCCAAAGGAGCTGGCTAACTCAAGCCATGGTCCGACGTATTCCTGTTCTCCCAATTTCATTAGGCTGGCTCTTTCTATACCGTCAAGTCAGGGCAGTGAGACTGCTGGCTGATCTGCCCTGGTGGAGTTTGTATTTGGATAGTTCCCAGGTGACTAAGTTGCCACACCTCCCAGGTTTAAGGCGAAGTAAAGATGTAACAGGCTCGTTTAATAGGTGCGAGGCAGCACCTAATGTTGCAGTGAAAGGGGAAGTCAGGGCAAGGGCTGTGCAGAAAGACAGCTGCAGAGAGAGGGAGGGGACAAGGTGACCTGACTTGGTGGGGGCTGCATCTAAATGGCAACCCCTTATCATGGGCAACATTGGTCTCTTCATTCCCACCATGGTTTGGCTTCCGAACACCTAATGTTGATCTGCGTTCCCTGCTTCCCTCCATTGTGGTCACCCCTGCAGCAGTGGCTTGTGACAGCGTGGATGAGCCTGCCAGCCTCTGGAGATGGCTGTGCTCCAGTGGGGCCTCCCTGGCTGTTGCAAGCCTCGAGTGAAGTGTATGTTTCAGATCACTGCGGCTCAGTTTTTTCCAATAGCTAAACAAATTATAATTATTTTCATCTCAAGTACTGGGGTCAAACCCAGGGCCTTACTTACACTAGGCAAGTGCTCTGCCACTGGATTACATCCCTCACTGACTGAGCCGTCTCACCAGCCTTATTTATCATTTTCCTATGGTGAAAACGTTAAACAATCTTAGGTTCCAGTGGCTGTTTTGAAACACTCAGTATTCTATAGTTAATTCCAGTCAGTGCATTGCAGTAGGACCCCAGAACTCTGCCCTCATCAAGCTGGGACTTCATAGTGACGTGCCTGTCTCCCTCCACCCTTCCTCTCCCCTCCCCTTCGGCCCACTCTTTCTGCTTCTGCTTCTTCGCTCCCTTAGACTCCACTTAGGAGGAAGAGCTCGCTTTATGGCTGAAGTATGCTAAAGGAGGCTTGAACTGCAGAGGGAGGTGGGACAGGAAGTGAGGCAGCAGCCTAGGGAGCGCAGAACAAAAGGCAGTTGCCTGTTGTAGTATGTCAGGAGTTCCTCTAGGGGCTCTAGACTCCACTCTGTCTTCTGCCTTCCCTTTGAGGCAGGCCCAGCACTGCCTGGGGTTCCTGTGTCCAGCAGGGTTCCTGGCAAGTGGATTGGAAGGAGCGAGACTGTTGAAGGCAGATAGAAGATGGTTTGGCGAGACCTGTGGCTTGTCCAGGGGATGCTAGATAGTGCCTCTCCCCCACAGAAGCCAGGGAGCCTTCCAACACAAGGCAGCTGGATTGGGTCTTTGGAGGGCCACACATGATTGAGGCTCAGGTGTCTTCTCCAGTGTTGTCACACTCCAAATATTCACTTCAAAACATTTTTCATGATTTACTTATTTTTATTTTACATATATTGGTGTCTTGCCTGCATGCATATCTGTGTGAGGGTATCAGATGCTCTGGAACTGGAGTTACAGATAGATAGTCGTGATTTGCCATATAGGTGCGGGAATTGAACCTTGGTCCTTTGGAAGAGCAGCCAGTGCTCAGCCATCCTCCAGCCCTGGGAGTTTGAATTTTATTTTGTTTTATTTTATTTTTATGGTGCCCATGTTGAGCTCTCGGGCTCGTTGGCCAAACTCACAGGAGCTGATGTGTGGAGCTCGTGTGTAGCAGCTCCTGCTGGCGTGAGAAACAACTGTGGCAGCGTCAGACTACGGTGGCCAGGCTGGCCCATCCCGTGTGGGAGAGCAGATGTGTGACTGTGCTGGGGGAGGAGAGATCGCCCCGCGTGGAGTAGGTTCACTGTGTGGGTCATGACCTTAGCAGGCTAGAAAGGCTAAGATGGAAGGAAGCTGGGAAGAAACCTGGTGGGATCAGTGGCCTTTGAAAGGGCCTTCTGCGCCCATGAGCTGCAGCACCCCGCCTCTGGGATCCCGGGTGTCCTGCCAGCCCCGTGGCCTATGACTGGGTTCTCAGCTTGAGGAAAAGAGGAAGAGCCCCTTAGGTTTTGAGGGTGCCGGAAGAAGGCTGCATCTGCCATAATGTTGGGGTCTTGGCCTGGGGTGTACCTAACTTAGCTAGCCTGAGCAGGTAAGCACAGAGCCTGTGGTCTGAGCTGGGGTTGTGTGTAGACAAAGCATGCACAGTCACGTGGCTGTGATGGGGTGGCCATGGAGACTCCAGCTGGCTTCGGGGCAGTTGGATAGATTCACCCATTTCCGTTCTTGCCACAGATTCTATGGAAGTGAAACCCATCATGACCAGAAAACTGCGGAGACGACCAAATGATCCTGTCCCCATTCCAGACAAGAGGAGAAAACCGGCTCCCGATATCCATTTGTGCCAAGCTTGAACCACATCAGATCCTTTGCTTGTCTGTTTGCTGGTGTCTACAGGGCCATCATCCCACAAAATAGCAGTGATGCTGAATGGGAAGGATGTGTGAAATAGTTACCCACAGGCTGGGTTAGCCATTTAGCCTTGGAGTCTTCAATTGCTTTTTGTGGGAGAGATTTCCAGAAAATGGTTATGTGGAAAGATACTCTGTTGGAAACAGCCTGGTTTTAACACATCTTTCCAGGTAGGGGCAACTTACAATGAAATGTATAAATTAAGGACAGACTGCCTGCCATGGTCCCAGTTACTACCTCTGCGTTAGAGGACTGCAGGCTGCCGTGGTCTACCAGTTACCCGTCTCTACACTAGTGGTTGTGGGCTGCCATGGTCTACCAGTCACCTGCCTCTGCACTCGTGGGTTGTGAGCTGTAGGAAAGAAACTGTGTAGCCGTAGACATGACCAGTGACCAGCGGAGCAGCTGTTCTGTTCCTGTTGAGATTAAATGTAGCTCTTTGTCCAAAGTGGGTCTGTAATTCATGTGCCACCAGCAGAGGGCACCGTCCAGGTCCCTTCACCTTCACAGCATGATATAAGTCACTATGAGGCTAGACTTTCCCTGCATGTCTGGAAGCCTTCAAATTTGGGGCAGAAGTGTTTTCTAAACTGAGGTGAAATTGTCAGCTTCCTGTACATGTTCTCTAACGAACAGCTTCCCTTCCCTTCAGAGCAGTTTATATGGTGGGGGTGTTGAGTTCCCCTGCGCCCGGTGACCATGACATTTAGCATGAGAGTTAACTCTTTAAAGACAAGTTCTTACCTTAAAAACAGCATTTACTTAGCCTGGGCCTCGCTAGTCCCAAAGTGTCAGGAGCATGTGTGCCTCTGTCTCCTCGGAAGCCGTGCCTTTCCACCATGTTCCTTTAACTCTTCACACCTCAGTTAAACTATTTGTTAACGGACGAGCAGATCATGGAGGATCTGAGAACGTTGAACAAGGTACAGTTGGATGCTTTTGATGTGTTTGGAAGCTCACATGTGTCACTGTGTTCCCCTGTCACTTGTTAAAGTCACCATGACATCTCTGACACTTTAAGTTGCTTCTAAAATGATTTCCTCTGAGACTTTGTTGTTGTTGTTTTTCCTACAGCTTAAGTCGCCCAAGAGACCAGGTGAGTGCTTAATGACGTTGCTGGTCTTCATGTCCTGTCGCTGGAGAAGCGTGTGTGGGATTCTCGAGAGTAAACTGCTCATTGTTTGCCTGCGAGAAATCATGAAAAGCAACAGGAATCATAAACATGTTCCTTTTTTAAAAGCCCACTGTATTATTTTGTCTTTTCCTTAGTATTTGTTATAAAGGAGACATTTAATTGGCTGTTGAAGGTTCCCTTCTTTGTAGGCATCAGGTCCACGTTCAGTTCTGAACGAAACCATAGGAATGTTCAGTGTCTTGCGCTCTCTGGAGCTCAGTCTCCAGCATTACCAGTCCAGCGATGGTCTGGTCCTGGTGAGGCCTTCAGGCTGCTCCTGGCGCTCATTAGTAGATGGGGCAGAGGCCCTTGAGACATTCAAGAGTTTTTGAGTGAGCTATGCTGATTTGGTATCTACACGAAGTCTAGGATCAGTGTGGTGACCTTCTGGCCATGAGAGGCCACCAGATTGCAGGTGCTTATGCAGTCAACACAGGGGTCCCTGTGGATAGCCACTGTACCAACCCAGGCAGCACAGCAACTGCCTCTAAGTACAGTTGAAGGGCTTGCTGGTCAGTATTGCTGCCACGCCCTGGTGTGTCAGTCACTGTGTGCCCTTGTTAGGCTCATCGTCTCGGTGTCTCTGATCCTGCAGCTTCCCCATCCTCTCCTGAACACTTGCCTGCCACACCTGCAGAGTCTCCAGCCCAGAGATTCGAGGCTCGGATAGAAGACGGCAAACTGTACTATGATAAAAGATGGTGAGTTGTGCGGAGGGGGTCGTGTGAGCTGCTGTACTGTCCCAGTAGTTTCTCAACTTACGTTTTCATGTATTTGTTTAGTTTCTTTTGGCGGTGTTGGGGCTCAAACCCACGTGCTGGGACTCTGACCCAGATTCCGAGTATTCAGTGAGATTCCATATGAGGACTGTGAGTGACCAGCTGGTGGATCCCTCCATGAGGTCACTGAGAGCAGTATTTCCCCAAGAGTGTCCTATGGATTCTGACCTCCTCCCTCCAAAACCAAACAAACAACCGTGTTGTTGTCTCCATTCTAGAGTTTGCAAGCTGTGTCCCTGCCTAGCCGTGGGTGTGTGTCTGCTCTGCTCCTCTTCTCTGTGCTGACTGTCCCTGCCCAGCCCTGACGGTGTCTGCTCTGCTCCCCTGTGTGCTGACTGTCCCTGCCCAGCCCTGACGATGTCTGCTCTGCTCCCCTGTGTGCTGACTGTCCCTGCCCAGCCGTGACGGTGTCTGCTATGTTCCTATTCTCTGTGCTGACTGTCCCTGCCCAGCCCTGACGGTGTCTGCTCTGCTCCCCTGTGTGCTGACTGACTGTCCCTGCCCAGCCCTGACGGTGTCTGCTCTGCTCCTCCTCTCTGTGCTCCAGGTTGCAGGAGAAAAGGATTCTGTGGTCTCACCAGGTCAGGGAAAGGTCTTGCTGCCTAATTTAAGTGGGCTCCCTTCTCAAAGCTCCAGGTTTCTCAAGTTAGAATATTTTTATTTGTTAGCTGTGCTCTTTTTTGGGACATTATTCCAGCTTTCAAGGTGTTCCAAGAAGTGTAGTTGGGAAATGGCGTCCTAAAACAGCTCATTTAGACGGAAAACTATTTGAAGCATTCAGATTGCCTGTGACTTTCATTGGAAACAGTTGAAATGAACTGGGGAAGCTCATACATTATTCATTCGACAAACACTGTTTAGACCTCCTAGGTATTAACTTGCCATTAATTCTGCCATCTTTTCAAAGATCTGTAGTGTTTCTGTGCAGACAGGACCATAGGTAGGAATGGCTACACCCTGACTTCCTATTGGCTGTATGGAGGAGGCGTGGGCCACTGGAGGGCTCTGTTATTACCATTTATAATGGCCTTGTGATAGCTCTTGTTTCATTCAGTGTTTTTATTTAGCCAAAAGTTGGCAGATGAGAGTGATGGTGTGATCTTGTGACTTAGCGTTGGTCACACTTTAGATCATCACCTCACTGTCCGTGGTCCTGGGACCCCAGATGCCAAAATCGTGATGCTCAGTTCTCTGCATAAAACTGTGGTGTGCAGAAAAAAACTAACCCTGGGCCCGGCAATGGGGCTAAGCAGGTCAGAGCGCCCATGCAAGCCTAGTGGCCTGGTTTCGTCCCTGGAACCCACAATGGAAGGTGAGATTCAGCTTCTGAAGTTGTCCTCTGACCTCCTTATATGTACCTTGGCTGTATTGACTGTAGTACAAATGTTGTATAGATGTGCCATGTTGTTAATCGTCAGATTCCCAGCGTTAATGTCAGTTTGACATGTGGGACTTATTTACCAAGGCTCATGTTAATACGACTGTATCCTCCTGCTTGTCCCCCAAATACTTGGTTTGTGCAGTTTGCTAAATCCAGACAGTGGAACCTTCCATGCAGACTGTTCTGTCAAAAACTTAAAGGTCAAGTCAGGCCTGCAGGTTGTCTCACCTGCTTTAGTGCCTGTTGGCTGCTGCAGTGACTGTTGCCCTCACAGGCGGCTCTTCTCTGGCCGCCTTCCAGACAGTCTAGAACAGTGTGCTGCCACTAGGTGGCAGGCCCTAGCTGCTCAGCATTAGGAGCAAAGTGAGGTAAAAAATGTATGTAATAATGACAACCGAATAACCCTTAAAGCTCAGGCTACAAGAAGAACAGCTCCTGGGGATGACAGGCTCTATGATTCTCCGGATCTGGAATCTTCCAGGCAGTGGGATATTTCAGAGTACGCTCCTTTTGTAACCGAGGCCTCCTCTACCTTTCTGAATTTGGTTCTGTGACTATGAGGCATGTCTCAAGGAGGAAAATGTAGTAAAAAGAGGGGCCCGCAGCGACTGGTGTCTGGTACTCTTAGCACTGGGGTCTGAGGTGTCAGAACTTCTCGCCATCTTCCTCATGTCAGCGGAACAAGTCCAAATACAGTGTCTTCTGAACACGCACTCACCTTTTTGCTGAATTGCGAAGTTGTTTATTGTGCTGTTAAACACATTTCAGAAATGGCATTTCCTTTCTGGGCTTAGCGCTGTTCCTCTTTGGTTTCTGAAGTCAGAGCTTCTTTCGAGGCACTGGCGACTGGATCTGCCCTGCCCTGCCCTTATTACAAGTCCCACCTTGAGGTCTCGCCTGCCCGGAACCAGCCTGTCACTCCGCCAGGCCCCGGGTGTTCTGTTCCTTTGTCTCTGAAAGCTTTCTTTGTTGTTTCCTCCTCCTGCAGACTCGGCCCTTGGCTAAGAGAGCTTCTGAGTGCTGGGCGCCCCTTCCAGAGGTGGGGTGCTTTCTGCAGAGTGTGTTTCCTGGGGGCTGTAGTGACATCAGCAGTGTAGAGCTGGGTAGGGCACCATCTTGGCATGGTCCAGCTGCATCCCTGACTTCGCCTTGGTCCCCTGCTTTTATGCCATTTATTTAGCTTGTGCTGTCAGTTTGCCTTATGTTTTGATTTAGACTAATGACCCCTCACAGAAAACACTCTGAAAAGAGCCAAGATTTTAAAATAGCTAGCTGAAGGCGCTGCAGGGTATGTGCGCTTTTTCTCTCTCCCTCTTCCCCCCTCTCCTTTCTTCTCTCTTTTCCCCCTCTCCCTCTACTCCCTTCTACACCATCATGTGGAGCCACTAATGTGACCAGAGATGGCATCACTCCTTGCTGAGAAGTTGGACCCCTAGCTGTCAGCTGACCCCAGGGCCTACAGGGCCTGCTCCCAGCCTCTGGAACTGTGATGTGGGTCAGGTTTTATCAAATGAAGTTCATTTTATTATGTCGATATTAGGAGTCCCTATATAGTACATAGAATTCAGTTGCTTCTCCTCACTTAACATACCTACTTTGGACCAACCAAAAAGTAACCATCCAGGTTTGCTGGGCCAGCATTGAAAGACCCAGAGTTAAGGTCTTAACTAGGGTCCATGTCAGCATTCCCATTAGTAGTAAGTCAGGCTGGCATGCAGGACTCAGTTTCAGAGGCTTTAAGCGTTTTGTCCGGCAGCTGAACTGCAGCTTGCCCATGGGTTAATGAGAGGGGAAGCACATTTTTGCAAATTTTCTTTTACTGGTGTAGCTGCAACATTTTTTTTTTCTGAATATATTTTGAATTCTTATAATTAAAAGATAAATTTGTGTTAAGGTTGCCTTCTATTTGTTGCTTTTTTTCTTTAAAAAGAAAACCTTATTTGAACACTAATTTCTGAGGACTTTTTGAAGAATTTAATAGAATTCAAAGAATTTAATCAATTTGATATCCACATTCCCCAAGGCTACTGTGGGGTGTGTGAGAAACTCCCTGGAGATTGAGGGCCAGTTGTTTTGAGAACCTGCCACTTGGGAAAGTAAGCTGGCCAGCTGTGCTGTGGAACAGCCAAGGGTTGAGGTGGACACTGACCCCACCATGTGGTAGGCGATCAGGTGCTGGTCAGGTGGCTGGCTTTTCCTGATGTGAGGAACAGTTCCTGAAGACTGTGGGGTGTCTTCCAGAGCTGGCCGTCCTAACAGACCGCCGTGGTCCGCTGTCTCTGTCCTTGTCTCCCAGGTTCCATGGCTCGTAGGGCGTGTCATCTGCTTTCCTTGCAGCGGGGAGATCATAGTCAGTGCAGTGTGCACATGAGGACCTGTTTCTGGATCCCAGCACCCATATAAAGGCTGTGCATGGTGGCGCGGCCCTGTCATTGTGGTGCTGGGGAGGCAGCAACAGAAGGACCCATGGAGTTCATGTGACAGCCAGTCTAGCAGAATTAGAGAGTTCCAGGGTTAGTTCCACCTTGTCTCAAATAAAAAATGATTGAGGACACCAAGTGTTGCCATCTGGCCACACATACACGCACACACGCTCGCGCGCACACACACCTGTTTATTGTAGAGAAGTAAAAGCTGTGCAATAAAAATAATAACACAACTTATATTTTATAGATTTTATTGGAAGTTTACCCAGCTTTCTTTGTGTGTATAATGCACATGTAAGGACATGTTTTATTACCAGTGCTGTACCACTGTGGACATCATGTTTCCGCTCAGCTCCATACTGTTTTCTTTCAGGCTGGTGTCCCTCGTGCATTCCCTTAGATCTTTGTTGAACGACTGGCCAGCAGTGTTCCGTTCATGTCTCTAGCTCCATAGTGACTCGGTCCCCTTAGAAGCTCCTTGAGTCCCACTCTCCCTCTTTTGAAGGCTGTCAATGTCTGGGAATGCTGACTCTGGTGCTGCAGAGAAACCAAGGCAAGTGTGTGTTGCCGTGGATAGTTGGCCTCCCTCATGCTGTGTGGTGCACACTATGGACCTTGTGACAGCCCCGTGTAGCATAATGAGGCATCTTTGGCCAGTGACGGCAGCATAAACGCTTGAATCTCAGCTGGTCTCCTGCTGCGGTCACTTAGGATCTGCACCCTTCCGGTGTTCTTCTCAGGGAGTGCATTGACTTGGCAGCCTGAGAGCTCAGCTCCCAAGTAGGGTAGAGAGTGCGTAGAGCCTGGCTGGAGCCAGCTCTGGGTGGAGCCTGGATTTGGGCAGTAATTCTGTCATCGTTCCCATGAAATGGTCTGCTTCTTCCCCCAAAGATACACCAGCAAGGTGTGGGGCAACAGTTCGTAGGAGCTTGAGGGTTTCTCTGCCAGCTTAGTGCAGCCAGGGTTATGCTCCTGGGGCCTGGGGGCAGCCAGTTGCACCTTCCTCCTGCTGTCCCCTTTGGGCTTTGGCCTGGCTCCCTCTTCATTCTTGCTGTTGTATTGAGCTTGGGTAAGTTGGTCCCAGCGCTACCCTGCAGGGCAGAGAGCCTGTGCTGGGAAGAATGAGGAGCCATGACCTGCTGCTCCCCTTCACAGCCTTCCCAGCTGTCCCAGCCAGAGTGGGCCAAGGCAGAAGCCCTTTGCTGCTGCTCGTGTGGGGACCGTGAGCAGTGCCTGCTCAGTGTTTGCCCTTAAAGCACCGAGAGCAGCGACCTTGTAACTTCTCCAGCTCCACGCATGGTCAGTGGTAAACACTGTGGGTGTCTCATGAGTCCTTTTCAGTGCGTGGCTAAAATAAGGATGGAATGCAAATTTTCTTCTTGTTGATGACGTAATTAGACAAGTAGAAAATCAGTCACCAGACCCTTGTGTGTGTTTGGAGCAGCCAACTAGGGTATGAGGCCAGAAAGTGCAACAAAATTGGCATATAGTCCTAATAATGAAGGAAATTATAGCTGGGCATGCTGGCTTTGCTTAGGCCTGTAATCCAGCTACTATGGGAGCTTGAGTGGAGCGCCTGCCCAGGGAGTCAGCTCCGTGGTGGAGCACTTGCCCAGGAAGTCAGCTCCGTGGTGGAGCACTTGCCCAGGGAGTCAGCTCCGTGGTGGAGCACTTGCTCAGGGAGTCAGCTCCTTGGTGGAGCACTTGCCCAGGGAGTCAGCTCCGTGGTGGAGCACTTGCCACTTGCCTAGGTTTCAGTTGGTCCTGGGTTCAGCCTTCCACTGAGGGAAAGCAGATTACAAGGCTCTCCAAACTTCCCTGACCAAACCTTTTGTTTTCCTTCACAGAGGGCTAAGGTAAGTGTTGGTCCACAAGAGAGACTTCTAGTCTAAGCTGGAAGCTTGTCTGCCTGCTGGAGTGAGGGTTTCTGTCACTGTGGTGTTTGGTTTTCCTACCCCTTCCTGATTTTTGTTTGTTTGTGTCCTGTTTTTGGCAGGTACCACAAGAGCCAAGCCATCTACCTAGAGTCAAAGGACAACCAGAAACTGAGCTGTGTGATCAGTTCAGTGGGAGCCAATGAGGTAGGGATCAGATTTCTTCCCCCTGAGGAGAGCAAACTGCTCTGAGAAGTGTGGAAAATTGACAGACCCAACAGAAAGCCCCACCCGAAAGCCCTGTGGAGTCCTGTCTCATGTGGGTTGGGTCAGCGCTGTCAGGGGAAACTACCCACACACAGAGTCGCCCCAATCCCTTGTGCCTGCCTGAGCCAGTCCTGCAGCTCCAGGTGCTGTGGTGGCCATGATGTGCTCCTGGGCAGCTATGGTTTGGGCGCCGCTGAGCTGGCAGCCCTAGAGGAGAGCAGAAGGCAGGGGCACTGGTACCTGGTGCCCTGGTGCGGCTGTGCGCTGACCAAGGCACTGGCTCTGGGGAGGACTCACGTGTGTTTGATTATTTAGAACTTCCTCTCCTGCACACCAGCAGGCTTGTTTCTTCTCTGAGGCTTAGTGGGGCACTGCAGGCCCAGCACCCAAGAAGTGCGCAGTGAGTGGGTACTCATACTGTCCGCTGCATCTCCAAACTGTCTTTTCAGTCTGACACGCCCTGCTGTGCCTCTGGAGAGCGAGCTGCCAGGCCTGCCTCTCGGAGCATTTTCTGCAGGATTAGGTCTGGATCCAAAGCTGCTCAGTGTGCTACCCAAGGATGCTGGGCTTGCCCTGGGGCTCCCTCTGGCCCTTCATTAGGAAAGCATCAGCAGTGTCTCACTTACGCCATTAGAAGTTTTGAAAAGTCTGGAACTTTTAACTGCATTGACCTGATCTTTTTTTATCAGTCCACAAATGTCTGCAGAGAAATCGATTTTTCTGTGACTCCCTGTGTTAACGATTTGTGCCAATGCACGGGAAATCTAGTGAAACCGGATTATGAAATAATTTTAGCCTCTGGTTTTCTCTCAGCCCTCTGAATCAGAAATGCCCACACACGTGACCAGTTTGCAAAATGATAGTTTGCTTGGAAGTTGGGGACAGCCCCATTCTTCCCTAGGCTGAGAACCGGAATGGGGGTCAACCAGAAAGACATGGCGATCCCCAGCCAAGAGGCCTTGTGACTGTGTGGTGGGCTGCTCTGCAGAGCACACAGGCCTCCTTAGGACCTAGTGACAACCATCACATTCTGTCAGAGTGTGCTGTGAGGGCTGGCGAGCAAATGGTGATGCTGAAGTGTCTCTCAAAGGGCTGAAGCCTCAGGGCATCAGAACTGTGCCAGGTGACGGAGGGGCAGCCCTCAGTCCTTGGGAGTCACCTCGATTTTCAGATGCACTGTCCCGTAACTCTGGAGCCGCCTGGCCTTCATGGGCACGTTAGGCTGCTAAGCCCGAGGGTGGGTGATGCCTGGCTCAGCACGCTTGGGGTTGGTTTTCTGTTTACAATGGTCTTGCAGAAGGCTCAGCTTTGTGCAGTCTTTGTGGTGTGTTAAAACAGAGTTTTAATGTTCTTACATCTTTCTGTCACTCAGTAATCACACTAGACATGAAGCGGGACTGAGAGGAAACCTACAGACTGAGCCTGGTTTGCAGAGAACTCTGCAGAGTCTGTGGTGGGGTGAGGGGGGCAAACTTTGGTTCAGGCCTCTTTCAGGCCATTTAATTATCTCAGTCACGGAGAGCCAGTGAGAGGAAAGAGGTATTGGGAGGCGAAGCATCCCGTAATACACCCTATGAGGGTGGCCAAGGGGCTGTGAGGTAGGAGCTCCTATATCAGGCTCTAGCAAAGTGTGTGTGGGGGGGAGTTGGACCAAGGGAAATATTTTTAAATTGGTTTGAAAAGCTGTTACTCCGGAGTGCGTGTCTTTTGGATGTTGAAAACCACGATCACCAAGTCCAGAATCCTGGTGAGTGAGGCAGACATGGAGTGAACTGTCAGGGCCGTGCGGGTGCTGGCTGCTTAGACGGCCCTTCAGCAGACGCTCCCTGCCCACACCAGGCCCTCAGAAGCCCGTCTCCCTCACCTACCCCTCTCGTGTCCCCGCAGATCTGGGTGAGGAAGACCAGCGACAGCACTAAGATGAGGATCTACCTGGGCCAGCTGCAGCGTGGGCTCTTCGTGATCCGCCGGCGGTCAGCGGCTTGACCTTCCTACACACTTCCTCTCCCCTGACCCTTTTTCTGGAGTGGTTTTTATTTTTGTTTTGTTTTCTTCTAATAGAAAACTCTTAACTTACCGGGACTAGCTGCTTGGCCTGGAACATGGAGAGTGCTGTGGGATCTTCAGGGCCCTCACATGCCGGCCTCTTCCATCTCTGTACCGTTCTTTCCTGCCTCGGCTTCCTCCAGAATCAGTCACCAGAGACTTACTCTCAGGAGTATGGGGGTTTCATCCACTTTCCTTTTTATTTTTATTTTATTTTTTTGTTTATACTTGATCCTTTTTTTTTTTTTAACCCTCTTTTGAGTTTGAAGGGGAGCTCTTTTTTAATAAGTGTCTTGAGGTCTTTCTCCCATGAAGAGCAGCGAATGTGTTTTCCTGTGTGATCTGATTGGTGGATTGTGTGCCTGCTTCCCTTGTTAGGCCCGGAAGTGTGGGGTAGGAGAGTTCTCTCGGCTCTGCCGTCTCCGAGAAATAAATGATGTGTAGCATCTCGTCTGCCTTGCGCGTCTCCCTGGCCGAGCAGCTGGAGCTTCAGACTGTATCCAGTGGACGGGGCTGGGAGAGGGGACGGTGCACGTTCCTAGCACGCTGGAGTTACCAGTCTCTGGATGTTCTTGAGTGCACTTGATTTATGTAGACACGCCTGTCCTTGCTCAGGGTGGAAGAAGTGGTAATTTCAGAAATTTCCATTTGTAATTCCTCCCTCCTGGGCTAGAAGATCACGTGTTCTGCTGTGGTCTGGGTCTACTCTGCTAGGTGGGGTGACAAGGCGGGCATTGCAGTAACCAGCCTGTGTCTGCTGGATCCACCACAGAGTCCCTGAGATTTGGCCCATGTTGGTAACAAGGAGAGCTCTGCCGTGCTGCAGCCACCCAATCTGTGTGCTGTCTCTGGAGCACCCCCAGTGAGGCCCCCGTCACGGGAGAAATGACTAGCGGGGCAGTGGGTTCTTTGTGCTCTAACCGCCACCGCTCCTGTGTGAAAAAGTGGGTTAAAGCAGCTGCCCCCATCTCTGTGGACTCCAGTCGGCTGGCCACATTTCAGAGCCTCCTCCCCCACCGCGGAGATGGGGTTTCTCTGTGTAGCCTTGACTGTCCTGGGAACAACTCTGTAGACCAGGCTGGCCTCAAATCTGCCTGCCTCTGCCTCTTGAGTTCTGGGATTAAAGGCATGCGCCACCACTGCCTGGTCTTTAGAAATCTTTACAAATAATCTGTTTTGTTCTTAGCCCCTTGGACTCCATGTTGCCTCTTGATGTGGACGGGTGGCTCTGACTCAGAGGAAAGACTGTACAAACAGACGTATTGTTTTCATTTATGTCCATTGTCTCTCACTGGGATTTCTAAGAAACCATGATAAATGATGATGTTTATTAATTAAAAGCTGCCGAGTGGTCTGTTTCTTCTCTGCCCTCTACCTCTGCCCGCCCCACCGTCACCACGGATACTACTGTGATCCCCACATTGTAAGATTCTTCAGAGTGAACCAAACTTTGCTACCATATTCACCACAGTGAGCTCCACTTTATGACCCTCTCACTGCAGTGAACCCCGCTGTTACATATTCAACAAACCCCACCTTGTTACACGTTCACCTCAGTGACCCAGGCCCAGGGTAAGCAGAGGCTTCCCTGGATGTATGCATGGTTTGGGGAAATACCCTACTGGGAAGCTCAGTCCCATGATGGAAATCATTTAGATGTGCTCGGTGTTTACGCTTTTTGTTTTTTCCTCCTCTGTAGCTTTGGAGCCTGTCCTGGAACTTGCTCTGTAGACCAGGCTGGCCTTAAACTCACGGGATCCACCCATCTCTATCTCCTAAGTGCTGGGATTAAAGGTGTGAGCCACCACCGCCCGGCCTGGACACTGTCTTAGCTGTGGCCTCCTTTGCCTTCCAATATGGCATTTGGAAGTGTGTTTTCACCAGGAGGGGGCTGTGCCTGTGGGTGCGTGGTGGGGGGGCTCTGGTGGGGTAGTAGCAAGCTGTGTTTCCTCCACCTTGCCTAGTGGCCACATTGTACTTTTGTGAAGTAATTATAAGACCAGGATGCAGGCACCTTTGCCTTCCGAGATCACCTGGGGCCGTTCTTGGACATGACCTTGACCTTCACTGGGTGCCACAAAGGGGACTTGAGGTACAGCCTCAGAAAATTAGTATTTCAGAGCACAGAGTTTCTCAGTCACCCCTGGGGTGAAAGACCAGCAGTTCTGTTCCCAAAGGGCTCTGTTGGTGAACAGAAATCCTTCAGTAGGGACAGCAGCTTGAAGAGGAAGCCGACAGAGCTGAAGGGGTGGAGGCTGGCCATCAGCCTGGCGACCCTCAGACCCCACCCAGCAGGTGACCTCATATGCACCTGTGCCCAGACAGTTTCCTTCCCGTGAGCTGGCCAGGAGTTCATAGTGCCAGCCTCTGCTGCGGGGTGTCTGCCATCTCCGCTGCACCTCTTGTCTAGATTTCCGCAGCCACAATAAAAGCCAGGGTGTGTGTTTCCCACTGAGTACTAGGATTAATGGTTGTCTGTCCGCCATTGTGACCGTTCTATTTAAACTTGTAACTCAGCTATGGGAGAGCCTGGATCCTTATCTCTGGGTTGAGCTGCTGATTCTGTGAAGCTCTGTGCAGGACTGGGTGGCCTCTAAGCGCAATGGGGAGTGGCGATCGTAGATTAGGTTGACTCCATTTTTAAAACGAACTGGAGAGGGGTGGATCCTTTTTTTTTTTTTACCGTGTTTTCTGTTTCTCGTTTCTCCTTTAATTTCTATGGCTTTTTTTTTCCCTTGAATTCTAGTAGATAATTTTTTTATTTAAGATTGGAGCTGGGTGGAGGTAGCACACGCCTTAATCAGAAGGCAGAGGCAGGCGGATCTCTGAGTTCGAGGCCAGCCTGGTCTACAGAGTGAGTTCCAGTTACACAGAGAAACCCTGCCTGGAAAAAGAATTTTGCTTCTCATCTGGTAGTTTGGAATCTCTCTCCTTGGTGTCTCCCCAGTGTTTCCAAAGAGCCCAAACCGTTTTCAGTTTGCAAGCAGCTGGTGGGCTTTCTATAGCACTATTAGTTGCTACCACCTTCAGTGCTCTGTGAGACAAACGTTAATTGTGAAAATAATTTTAAAAGTAGGTTCTTCTGAGTAACAAGCTTTCAAAGAGAAAGCTTCAGTGAAGGTGATAGAAATTTATTTTAGGTCTTCTGTTGATCACGGGGACAGGAGTGGGGGTGTAGCTGTTCTGGCATGATGTTCATTACTCATTTGGAAAGCACAGGGAGGTGCTGCCCCTCAAATCCTGTGACTGGGGCAATAACACACAGTCAGAGATGAGATACGGTCAGATCAGGTGAAAAACCGTGAAGTCAACTCATGCCTGAAGCTGTTCACGCACTGTGAGTACCCAAGAGCAGTGTTAGCTGTGACCTCGTATGCCTGCATGGCACCCAGGTGTGGCACATCTGTCAGGAGGGACTGCCTTGTGCATTAAGTAATTCAGAGGACTGCTTCCTTGGTTTATTCTGTTGTAACAGTGCTTGCAGAACGCACCCACGCCAAGTGTAGATGCATCCAGGCCACGGGGTGACACTGTCAGCTTCCAGTTCTTCACAGTCTACTTTCCTGTCTGCATTATTGTAGCCTCCAGGCTCCTTTGTCCCTGTATTTTGGGTCTGAAACGTTCCCTAAAGGCCTGTGTGTGAAAGGCTTACCCCAGCGGTGTGCTGGGAGTACACAGGGGTGCTGGGAGTGTTAAGGGGTGGCTCCTGTAACATGAAGGGCTGGCTTGTTGGGGTTTCTGTCCCGCCCAGTACCCCACAACCGGCAAATCCCAAAGAGAAATCACACACAGGACTCCATAATGTTATAAACTGATTGGCCCATTGGCTCAGACTACTTGTTAACTCTTATAGTTTATATTAACCCATTATTCTGATCTATGTTAGTCATATGGCTTGGTACCTCTTTCAGTTGTCAGCTCACATGTTGTTGCCTCTTCGGTGGTCTGCACAGGTGTGGCGGAGGGAGCTTCCTGTTTTCCCAGAATACTCCCAGTCTCTTTGCTCCACCCCTACTTCCTGTCTGGCTTTCCCGCCTATACTGCCTGCCTGGCCAATCAGCGTTTTATTAAAATATGATTGACAGAATACAGACAATTCTCCCACACCAGTCCCAGCAAGGGTTCTTGGGTCATTGTAGGGGAGCTCTCGAAAGGGACTATGGGCTGGTGCTGGAGAGATGGCTCAGCTGTTGAGATTACTTTCGCTGCTCTTTCAATGTCCTGAGTTCAGTTCCCAGCAACCATGTGGTGGGTCCACACTCATCCGTGATGAGATCTGCTGCCGTCTTCTGGCGTGCAGGCAGAGCACTATGTACATAATAAGTAAATACATCTTAAAAAAAATAAAAATAAAAAAAGGATTGTGAGATGCTAGGCTAGTACCTTTCCCACCATAACCACAGGCAATTGGCCATAGACTGAAATCCCCAAACTGTGAGCCCAAATAAACCTTTCTTCTTGTTAAGTTGCTTATCTTAGATGCTCTGTTACCATGGTGATGGGTTGACTAACACATGTCCTTCCGTAGCTCGAGCCAGATACCCAGTAGGGGGCAAAGACATAGCAGAAATGCCAGAGCTGGCAGGAATGGACATAACCCAGTAGGTAAGTCCACATCATTTACCTCCCTGTTTTTTACCTGAGTACCCTTTGTTGTGATTTAGAAAAGGTGGAGCACTAGGGAAATACTGTGCGACAGAGTTCACGTGGAGGGCTTTTATTAAGGGAAAGGGAACATAGGGAGGGGGAGACTGGGCTCTGGGGACAGGAGCAGCGGAAGAGAAGAGCAAGGCGGAGAGAGAGGTGGGGGAAGAAATAGAGGCAGAGCGGAGCAGGGGAACAGACAGACAGACCAAGACAGAAAGAGGTGCTCTTAGTGGCTATAGCTGAGGACATAGCCTCTCAGAACCCAAAGGGCAGTGCAGATGCCTGAAGACTGACACCCTTGTGTATACCAGACAATACCGAATCCTTTGTGGAAGGGGCTTTTTACTTGCTAAGGTAGTTGGCAAGGGACCAATCTGTACTCCCAGATTCAAGCTGGTGAATCATCTAAGTTTCTATGAAACCCAGAGCTCAGTCAGCCACATGGAGAGCTGGACGTCCAGCATCCAGACGCTCTCTGATGTCAGTACGCCTTCTCTTGCCTCGTCCTCTGTGGAGACATCAGTCCTGACTCCCCGCTTCAGCCTTGAGTCCCATCCGGTGCCCTGCTTGGGTGGGCAGAGACAGAGCTGCTTCTGATCTCTCTGAAGGATAGAGACTCCGGGCTTCACTCTCGCACTCTGAGCAGGCTCCGGGTGGAATGAAGGAGACAGAGGGACCATTCACTCTGGGTGCATCACTGGCACTAGGAACACAGTCACTTTAGGATGCTTTCCAAGAAGACACAGTTTTTCTAATAACTAGTGTGCCAGCTGACAAGCTACAATCATCAGAGGAAGGACCCTCAGTTGAGAAAAATGCCTCCAGGAGATCCAGTTGTCAGGCATTTTCTCAATTAGTGATCAGTAGGGGAGGTCCCAGCCCATGGTGGGTGGGGCCATTCCAGGGCTCCTGGTCCTGAGTTCTATAAGAAGCAGGGTGAGCAGGCCATGGGAACAAGCTAGTAAGCAGGACTCCTCATGGCCTCTGCATCAGCTCCTGCCTCCAGGTCCCTGCCCTATTTGAGTTCCTGTCCTGACTTCCTTCAGTGAGGGACTACAGAGTGGAAGTATAAGCCAAGCAAACACTTTCCTCCCCAAGGTGCTTTTGGGTCATGGTGTTTCCTCCCAGCAACAGAAACCTTAGCTACGACAAATGACTATGAAAACAAAAATGCATGTGTTTAAGAGGCTTGCTCGGGGAGAAAAGTAGATAAGGGACAGCATAGGAGCTCAGATCTTAATCCCTTACCCATCGCCTCAGTTGTTGGGGCACATGGAAAGATACCAATCTATAAAATAACCAAATTCGGGCTGGAGAGATGGCTCAGTGGTTAAGAGCACTGACTGTTCTTCCAGAGGACCTGGGTTCAATTCCCAGCACCCACATGGCCGCTCACAACTGTCTAAAGATCCAGTTCCAGGGGATCTGACACCTTCACACCAATGCACATAAAGTAAAGTTAAATAAACCATAAGAAATATTTAAAAAATAAAATAAAATAACCAAATTCACTAGGTGGTGGTGGTACACACCTTTAATCCTAGTACCCAGGAGACAGAAGCAGGCAGATCTCTGAGTTCAAGGCCTGCTTGGTCTACAGAGTCAGTTTCAGAACAACCAGGGCTATGCAGTGAAACCCTGCCTCAAAAACAAAAATAAAACAATTCCATTTACTTGTAGGAAAGACCAGGAA